TCACCTCTTTTTTCACCTCTTTTTTCACCTCATGAATTCATTGCTTTATAACTCTCTTCCTTTCTCCAACTCTTCTAACTTCTTCCTAAGTTCAGCAATGTTGTCCTCATGAAGTTTAATCTTCCTTAATATACCTTCTCTATCTAATGGTTGCTTTATCTTTCTAAACTGAACTCTACCATCCTTCATAGTATGAACGTAAAAACCTTCTGGAACCGCTCCTGATTTAATGTATTCTACCAAAAATTTTTGTTTCATTGCTTCAGTGACTTTAGTCGTCATTTTACTCTAAATAAAATGTTCAAATAAAATAAACTAACATTATTTTTTCAGTAAGGAAACGCAGGAGTTTTACGATTTATTTGAGGAGTAGGTTCTGGTTTAAATGTTGGAGTCGGTTTTGGAGTTGACTTTTGAACAGGAGTTTGTACTTCCATAGGTTCAGGAGTTATTGAAGGTTTTGCTTGTGAAGGCGTTGGTTTTGGCGATGGTGTCGGAGTTTGTTCAAATTCAGCTACTTCAGTATTATTTATAACATTTGCTTTATTTCTTTTCAACATCATTACTGCTCCTGCTGTAGCTAGCAAACCTAGTGGGAGACCATATTTTATATAAGGACTTGACCAAATGCTATTTTTGACAGGAGCTGGTGGAACACCTAACCTTGGTGAGACTGCTCTTTGCCATTGTGCAGCTCGTAAGAAATATTCAATAGGTGCTCCATAATCGTTTGGTAAAGTTTGTTTCATAGATGGTGAAGGTTCACGAGAGCTTGATGAAGAACTCATTTATAAGCTTTAAAAATAAATGTTCATCCTTTATTCCTCACTGTCGTCCGTGGCTAAGTTATAGTCGTCAAGTCTTATTATTGGTATGCCTGACTGTCTTACTTGTATTGCAAAGCAACAATCCCTCATAAATCCAATAAGTGGCTTTGGTACGTTTTCAGTTGCTAGTTCAATAGGTCCTTTAACAGACAATTTGTATGTTATTGGAGCAGTAGATGTTTGACCTTGCTGGAAGCAAAAGTCCACTTCTGTTGGAAAACCACATAAGAAATGTGTGTTGTCATAGCTATCCCATTTATGTTCCACACTACCATCATCCCACCAATGACCTCATAACATCTTCATTAAATCCAATCATATCATTGTTTGTATTGCAAGCGTTCGCAACCATTTCATAAAATACAGGTCCATATGATTTTTCAGGTTCTGCAGGCATATTTCCATAAGCTCCCATGGAAAGCTGAAGATATTTAAACTTAGGGTTCTCAAAATTAACATAATAGTTGTCTTTCTTTCTAAATAGTGCCCAAATACTTTTAACATTAATAGGCGTATAAGCTGCTGTAAAGTTGCACTTGAACTATCTGTATTCTTTGAGAATGAACCGTCCATAGGAATCCAATCCATAACTTTAACAGGAAAACATAAAGCCTCGTTTGTATAATGTTCTACAAGTTCTGTATAAATGTTAGGGTCTAAAGAGAATGACTTTGGATGAATGAAACATTCATTAAAATCCATCTTTGTTCGAAATAGTTGCTGGTTTACAGTTGTAATAGTAACTGTTCCACTAGCTTCTACTGCCTTCGTTATCATAGTGAATGGTTCATTCCATGGAACAAATTTATTTGTCGGTGGATTTGAATCTGAAGCAAATGCAACTTTAAGAGTTGGATTGAAAGCAATGATATCATTTACAGATATAGATGTGCATTGTAAGGCGTCGCTACTGAACTTTACTTTAAGCTGAATGTTTCCTGCAAAAGCTGGAATAAATCGAATAGCTTCTAATGGAAGAATCTTCTAACAGGAATTCTTAAACGAAGCTTAAAATCAAATGATTTTCCTGCTGTAATTACACTAACAATTTGTCCTGTTCTGCATGTTCCCGAATGACTCCATACATCTTCATGTCGAGTCTTTGAAAAAAACATCTACTTTCTTTATTTGTTCGGTAGTTTGTGAGTTTGAAGTTATATATGCTTCTTCTCTTGCGTTGTCTTGAGAATATACGATACGACCATTTGCAAGGATTTGATATCCAGCAACTGCATAGAAAGCGTCATCGAAACCAATCCAAAATCCTGGTGGTTTGTTTTATTGGAACCTGAACCAATTTCTTTATCTACAATAAATTGACCTTCCATTTTATACGTAATGAATGTATTGTAAAGGTCCAACATATTTTCACCAGGAGTGAGAGATTGAATGTTACCCATGTGTTATCTTTAGCAGTTCCAGGTTGTGATGGAATCTTTGCGTCAGAATATTTTCTATTAGTGTCACCAATTTAAATGAACCATTGTCTATGATATCGAAATATGAGCGAATCTGAATGAATATGCTCTGCTGGAGTAAATTCGTTTAACTGTTCGTTCTGCATGTATTTACTTCAGATAAAAATATCTATTTACTTCATTATTCTCACTCTTCTTCTTGGCATTCGTGGTGGAAGTTGTTTCTTGACATTTTCAATGAACTGTACATTCTCTTTTGTCTCAACTTCTTTCACTGGCGGGTCAGGGTTCTTTGACTCGGTTTGTTTTTCAATGAAATTCACGAACTTTGCAATAAGCTCTTGGTTCGTTATTGAAAGTACATCTGGCTTCTTTTCTTCTTGTTCTTTTGGTGGCTCAGTTTGAACAGAAGGTTTTATATGGGCTTCGTGACTTCACCCTTGCCATGCACCTTAATGTTGTCGCTCTCTGCATTCGCTAATGGTACCTTTCTTTTTCTTACGTATATTTTACCATCTTTACTCTGACTTACGTAATAGAAAGGATGTTGTATTCCTCTTGCGTCATTTAATATAATAGACTCTCGCTCTGATTTTGACAAGCTCATTTTACATCGGTTAAAGTTTTAAGTTAGTTTTTTATCTACAGTCAAATGACTCAGACAAGTCATATGGACAAGACCCAAGGGGTCATAGATGTTGAAGCATTGAAGAAAGAAATTCGCGAGCAAATTTTATCCGAACTGAAGGAACAAAAACAAGAACAAAAGCCAGAGAGACCAAAGAGAAAACTTAGTGAAAAAAACTAGCTGCATTAGCTGCTGGAAGACAGAAGAACCCACGTTTGCTGGCGAAAAAAGCTAGAGAAGAAGCAAAAGCAAAGGAAGAACAAAAAGCAAAGGAAGCTGAAGCAAAGAAAGAGTAAATGGTTTATTTTTATCCGAATTAAATGTATAGACAAATACCTTTAACTGTTGCGTTCAGTAGTGAAAACCCTGACGTCAAAATAAAGGGGAACAGAGTAACGTTTAAGTTTCCAACAGACTGGATTGTGAACATAAATGAAGAGAAGTACATTGGCATAACATCTATGTATATAACACGTGCTTTCAGAAAGGTTGACTTTATACTTCAAGTCGAGATAGAAAATGACGAACAGTCTTTAAGCGCCCAAAACATTCACATATACAAATACTTTAAAGACGATACAACATTGTTGCAATGTATGATTTCATTTAATGAGATGTTCGAGAAAAAGTTCAACATTGAAGTACAAACTTTACAGCCTTTACGTGAGTTTCTTGCACAACTGAAGGAAGAAGGTAGTCAGCCACAACTTATAGACTTTCATTATGAATTTAATGAAAATGAAGATGGAACAATGACTGTCAATTCATTGTATTCTCACCATTCAATGAAGTCGCTAAAAAGAAAGAAAATCCATTACGTATAAGATTTCAAATCTCCGAACCAAGTGATGATTTTAAGAATGTTTTCAAATTATGATGCAATGCTTCCGAGGAAAAATGAATTTTCAAAGATTGTAACACCTGGCATTTGGGATAGAAAGCAAGCAATACTTTACTCTAATATAGCCAAAGGCGTTGAAAATGAGTTCATTGGTCATACAAGAACTTCACCACTTCCTAACCCTAAATACTATAAATTAACTGGCTTCAATCGTGAGTTTTGGATAGACATGTTCTCCACTCATGACCATAAATGTCCAGTGTTCTTGCCTCCAGATGGGAAGGACTGTCTCTACATTGAAGCACAACTCTTAAACTCTACATCGCAGTATTGTAAAATCTACGCTAGCTTTATTTTTATCACGAATGACCTCATTGCTGACAAAAATAAATGACCTCATTCATGACCTCATTGCTGACAAAAATAAATGACCTCAGAACTTCAACTTACGAATAAAGCTTGTTTTAGTCGTTATTGAAAAGTTTGAACTTTTCAGCAAAGCAAGGTTGACATGACTTACATAAGTCGAATGCAATCTCTTGACCATCATAAAGTGCTTTGTAAAGTTTCATTAAACTGAACTCAGAGTCTTTGTCATATGTTCCAACAGGTATGTGAATGTTCTTATCTTCATTGTAATAGCATTGTATAGCTTCAGGAAACATTTCATTAGCGGTTAAAGCAATAACATCTTGCTTCACGCCTTTCATTCTGCAGTGAAATGCAACTTCATTTAAATCGTTAGTGAGTAAGTCTATGTAGGTCTCTTTCCACAGAAAATACTTTTATAAGCTAAACTTTGTTTTCCAGGTGTTATTTCTGCAAAGTCGCTATGAAATTGACCAAGGTTCTTTCCTATAAGTTCGCGACCATATCTCTTCTTAAACTCTGCTGCAAGCTTTGGTATGTCTTCATTATATAAGTGCATACTGTCGGTATCCTGGTAAAAGATTTGAAGACCCATATCTTCAGCAGTACAGAATACTTCATTCATAATACGTTTTGACATAGACAGAATATTAACACCAAGTGGACAGAAGTTAAAGTGTCTGCAAATGCTTTTCGTTAGCTTGAAAATAGTTTTATCTGAACCATCCAAACCTTCGAACTTCACTATATGGTTGTAATTTCTTATAGCATATCTTATAGCATCTTTGTCATTTACTATGGTTATTTTTGACTCAATAGGAGATAGAATAGTTTTGCCATAAATGCTGTTCAGAATGAGTTTTATAATTTCTTGTAAGGGGTTTCCTTCTTTCTTATACTTTAACCTTAACTCAAACAACTTCTTTACTTCATCTCTTATTCTCATATCTCTGTTTCCATCGTAATAGTATCCTTGCAACACTTCACATTTGACACATTGATATTTTATGAGGTCTTGTAATGTTATATGGTCAACATACATGAGACAGCAAGTGTTTGAACTTCTTGGAACGTTAAGTTCTGGATTTAGTTCAGGGTCGCAAACTATTAAATGAAAGTGTCTGGGTATACCAATCTCTGTTATCTTAATGAGAACAAAGAAGCCAGACATAAACTTTTCACCAATGGGTTCCTTTTGGTCATCATCGAATAAATGTCTCATGAGATACTCTGTGCTTAACATTTCTTCCTTCAATACTTTTGGAATACCTTCTAAAGTATAAAGTCTTGCTATAGCTGAAGGATATAATGAAACAGTGTCGAAGTCAGCAATGAGTTTCTTTTTGCTCTTTTGTTTCATGTTATCTGACAACATACATCTTCCACCTTGAATGCATCTCGAAATAAATTCTCTTGGTTTATTTGAGAGGTCATAAAGATTTCCATTCGGGAAGTATACTCTGTTCTCAAACAATTTGTTAGCAATAGAACAAATACTAACGTAGTCATAAACGTTTAAATCAAACTCTTTCAATAAGTCATTGCGGAACTTTACAAAACCTTCTCTTAAAATTCTTACATCTTGTTTGCAGTAAAACGTGCTATATTTTTCTAAGTCGAAGTGGTTTTCATCTATTCTGCAACCTTTGATGGAATCTATGTTTTTCATGAATGTATCTGCATCATGGATAAACTTACATGCTTCAGAAATGACACCAGTTCTGTTGTCATTTGCTAACAAAACACTGCTGTAGTAGTTATATGGAAATACTTCTTTCGGTCCTGTTTGTAAGTTAAACATAGCAGGAAATAGTTTAAGCTTCTTATTTATAACACTGTAAGAGTCTTTTATAATAATTGCCCGTCCTTTATATAAACCAGTTATTTGCATTGTTCGTGAACCTTTAATGATGGGAGTTCCTTTCACTTCTGTCATGTGTCTTAAGATGAAGTTTATGTCATAACTGAGGTTGTGGAAATATATTAAACTCTTGTCAGGAAGTCTTTCCAAAAATTCTGTTGCACAGTTTTGACCCCAAATGCTTTCACTCACTGAACCATCTTCACTGTCATAACAGATGTTAAAAGCTTTATGAAAGCCGTCTGTGCTACACTCAAAGTCAGCAAAGAAAACGTGCTCAGGAATGAATTTACATTTAGCTTTATTTACTTCTTTTGACTCTGCTTTCTTCTTCAGTTGTACACAATACTTTGGAGCATATGTCAAATCTTTAAATGGTGCAAGGTTCTGTTTATATAAGTCAGTAGTATATGTGAAAAGTTCTCCATAAGAAATAGGTTCGAAATATTTGCACTCCCACAATGTTTTCATAACATCCCATAGCGGTGTTGTTCTATCATAACGAACTACATATTTATCTTCTCTCTTTGTATAAATCTTCATCTGTTTCTCAATGTTCATTCCACCACACTCCTTCAAGATTTCTATATAGTTTCGAATGAAGTATGTTGTCATTGGTAATCTTTCATTTAGCATGTAGTGGTCTTCAACAAGAAGTAAGTCAATAGTTCTAACAGTTTCGCATTCTTTTGGTATATATCTCTTTATTTCATTATGTCTTGAGTCATTGAAATAACCAATGGTAACATTAAATGCTATACCTGTTGAATCGGAAATTTCTTGTACTTTACTTTGAGGAAAGTCTCTAACACGAATGACTTCTCTCATGTGGTCAATAGTTTCTTCATTTACTCCAGCCTGAATGCAAGCATAAACGAAACAATTGTCCTCTGTCATAAGTGTTGCAGTTCTTTTGTTCAGTTCATTGAAGATTTGGTAGCGTTCAAGATTTATAGGTAATGTGCAAAGATACTTCCAGAACTGACCGCTTCTCTTCTTATAAAACTTCTTTTCACCATTATCTTTCCAAAAGCTTTCTATAAGTGCTGGGTTTCCTGTTTGCTTAAGAGCTTCCAAAATGGCTTTCTGGTCATTTGTCAGTGTGCTTTCATCTCTATATGGTCTCTTTTTTGGTTTGCCTTTCTTTACATCTGACATCGTTAAGCCTTCATATTCTGTTAAATCATACATCTTTATTTCGGTAAGATTCTTTATGTTTGTCAAGAAGAAGTCATAGTGCATTTCAACAATACCTGCAGCATTTGCTTCTATCTCTGATATAAAGTTCTCCTTCAAGAGCTGATGTAGTAATGTTCCAATATTATTGAGGTTTAACGTAGAACATTCATACTTTCCACCAAGTTTATAACATACCATCCATCTCTGTTGCGAGTTTATTTTAATTTTCTCTAAGAGTCTCATGAAAACCTTACCGAAATGTTTGTGTAAGTAGTCTCTGTTTGGTTCATCTAAAGCTTCGATGTTAAAGTCAATGAGTCTATTGCCTGACTTCACATTTCTCTTCCTATTCTCTTCATCTTTCTTTAACCATCTCTCACCTTCTTTTGGTTTGTCGTCAATGGAACGAATGACATCGTTAGCTTTGCGAACTTGTTCTATAGCACTTTTAAACATCTCTCTTCTCTGTTGTTTCAGTGTGTCATCTCTCTTTCGTGTTTCACCAACGTTTGCATTTGTTATGTCAAACATCTCTCTTCTTACTTCATGAGGTACAGCTCTTCTTGTTTCACCAACGTTTGCATTTGTTATGTCAAACATCTCTCTTCTTACTTCATGAGGTACTGAACGTCTATGATATAAGTCAATAGCAATGTCATTTAAAGGAAATGCTCTTGCATGGACTTCGTCCTCGCCGCGTTGCGGCTTTATGAACTCATGAATTCTATCATAACTTATTGCACCATTATAGTCTTTAATGAAGTCAGCGAGTGCTTTTTTGTTTGTTGCGTAATGCTTTGCAACATCTATATTAGCTTCTGTAAGAAGTTGTTTTATTTCCGAGTGTTCTAACTTAGACAACTTCCGATACATCTTTAGTAGGAAATAAAAAAATATTTTTTGAAAAAATTAGATTAGATTTTTTTTAAGTTATTTTTCAAAATAATTTAATATTTTTATTTTAATGAAACACATGCAAGATTGCAAGTTCTTTTCATACAATGCTCTCGCTACTGCCATCAAGAATGAGTTCAATAATGCTTCAAACGTTAATGTTATCTTTAACAAGAAGTTTGTGAAAGAATCTAAGTTTGGTCAGTATGTCAGACCATTAGCTATCGTCATTGACCGCAAACGTTATACTTCACAAGAGTTAGCAGTAGTTTTGAAACAAAAGGGTTTCTTCGTGAATGTCAAAGATACACACTATACTGTCATAAAGAACTCCAACATTGACTTCTTCAGTATTGCTATGAATCTTTCCGAACAGAAAGAATATAAGAAGGGTGAAACATCTGTGAAATATTATCCTTCATCTCTGAAGACAATAACGAACAAAGATGTTATACAAAAGTTCTTACCAAAGGTTGAAGAAGCTTCAATTGACATTGACGAAGGAAGTGAAATGGTTGAAGAAATTGACCCTGAAGCTATTTAACCAAAAATATATTTTTGGTGAAGAGGTGAGATATCACCTGTTTTTTCACCTCATTCTCTCTTCGTTAATGTTGTCGTGACTTCTTCGTTAATGTTGTCGTGACTTCATTCTTCCTCTTTGAAGTTATCGAAATATTCTGTTATTTTTTCCTTCAGTAATGTTAAGTCTTCTTTGAAGGTAAGTATTGTGCAACCTTTGATGTCATAGTGTGTTTGAGGAAGAGTATTTTTGACAATTTCTTTTATTTGCTCATTCGGTGTCATTGAAATCGGTAAGTTTTCACGATAGAACCAGTTTCTGTCAGATTTATATATTTTAGCAAGGTCGTAAAAGCTTTTGTTGTTTCTTCTGACTAAATGCAACATAACCATATCTCTATCTTCTTCTTTCTCCAACTCTTCAGTATAAATCATATACTTATAACTCTTTTCCTTTCCTTTTGGTACTGAACGTGGTATTCTTTTCTGTATGCTTTTGTCTTTGGATTCAATGACTTCATCTTTTGCTTGAAGTTTCTTTTCCATCTCTCCACGTTCTGCTTTATATAGTTCATCTAACATCATGAAAATATAACAAGCATAACGAGGTGAAGCCCACATTGCTACAGCATTTACTAAAAGTCTATGAACATAATAACCTTTCAAACCAGGTGCCAAATTCTTGCGATTTTCGTACGGAATCTCTTCCCTCGGTTTTCCGAGGGAAGCAATCATATGAGGAAATTCTTCTAAAAGTTCTTTTGCCTGTTGGTTTTCAAACCAATGATATGCTTGCTTTGTAGAACGAAGAGCGTTCATTATACTTTGCATTTGATACATATCATCTTTGACTGAACGAATGAGTCTCAATTGTTTGTTATATTGTATGTATTCGTATTCTTCATTTATGGCTTCATGAACGATAGCAGTTGTTGTGTTCTCTAATGTTGACATTACTGTTCTTACATACAGGATAAAAAAATAAATAAAATAAAAACTAACTTTATTTTTTCTGAGATAAACACTATTTCTTCACAACATTAAATTTTATCCTGTATGAAATGACTTTAAAAAGATTATTGACTGACTTCGAATACTATCTCATTGACGCACTGACAGACCCTCAAAACTGTGTTGAAAGTTCTTTAAGCTTTAAGATTGAAGGTACGACGCATTTTGTCTTCACTTACGTATTGAAAGAATATGACCGTTATCATAACGAAGTGAATCAAACACTAATAAAATTTGTAGATAAAAAATTGGTTAACAATGAATATTTTAAACGTGAAGACCCAAACACTGCTGGAGATGATGAAGAATACAGACAAGTTATTGAAAAAAATAACGCAAGATTAGATGCAATAGAAAAGAAGTTTAATGAATGTCTTACAAACACGTATGAATATCTTATGCAGTGGGAAGCCAGATGGAAATAAATTTACGTCAAATATGCAATTTATAAAATCTTATGTCGACAGGCTACGTAGCACAGTGGTCTAAGGTGGTGTTATGGAGGGGTCAGGTCTGTGGTTCGAACCGCGACAGCGCCGTATTTTCTTATTTTCTTTATTTGTCTTGTTTGTCGTGAATAAAAAGTGTCATAAAAGTGCTCTATCTTCCACGGGAATAAATAAAAAATTTACTTTATTTCTTCTTTATTTCTTTGTTCCCGTGGAAGAAGGGTTTTGCTGTTTTTTCTCAGCCGAAATCAATGATTTTTTCATTTTTGGAATCCTTAGCGAATGAGGAATCTTTTCTCTCGTGGAAGCTTTGACCTAAAATATAATTTAGGTGAAGAGGTGAGATGTCACCTGTTTTCTCACCTCTTTTTTCACCCTCGTGACTTTGTCATAACTTCTTCGTAAATGCTTTGTCATAACTTCTTCGTAAATGCTTTGTCATAACTTCTTCGTAAATGCTTTGTCATAACTTCTTCGTAAATGCTTTGTCATAACTTCTTCGTAAATGCTTTGTCATAACTTCTTCGTAAATGCTTTGTCATAACTTCTTCGTAAATGAGTGTAAATGACCAAAAATATATTATAGGTGAAGAGGTGAGATGTCACCTCTTTTTTCACCTAATTTCTCACCCTCATGAATTTTCATGAATTTCCTTAAGATAGAAAAATAACGTTAGTTTTATTTTTATTTATTTTTTTATTTTGTATGTAAAGATATGATTTCAACAATCGGCACAACAACAATTCAAGCCGCGAACGGCGGGACTCTGTCCACAACAACTTCACCAAACTCGTTAGTCATGAATCCAACATCTATGTTAGTAGAGATGAAAAGCTTCATTCCTTCTTCATATACTTTCGAAACAAAAATCCAGAAGATAAAGCAAGAACTTTTAACAAGTAATTTAGACTGTAGTGCGAAAGATGAAACAAATGAACAGTATCTTTATGAAATGCAGGACATTATTGACCATTTACCTAAACTACCTGAAATTCAGCATCAAAAACTAACTATTCCTGAATTCGATGAAATAGAAGTGAAACCAACTGACTCAGTAGAAATAAAGAAGTTCATTCGAAAGGTAAACTATGAGTTTCTAGGATTTCATTGCAACCATAAGGTTATGGACAAAGATTGCGACATGGTATATAAGAATGTTTCTGACATATATAAATCCGGGGAGTTTAAGACCTACGATAACTTTGTTTCGTTAGTTGCTGAATGTGTATGGCAGATAAGAGATAAAGATAGAAGAGGTAAAATATGGAACGAACAGATAAGACCAACTGCTTTTGAGTTAAAGAAAACCATTGACGCCTTAGTTGTTTTAGCAGGTAAGGTTTCAGAATATAACGCAAAAATGAATCCGCAATGTTCTAAATGTAAAGCAGCAATTAGGAAATATAACTACTCCGTCAAAGAGATAGAAAGAATGCGAAACGACTATGCAGACTTAAAGAAAGAAGCAGAAAAGCCAGCAGAAAATAAAATGGACATGTTAGCATTTCTGAACAAAAACTATCCAACTGCTGACGATTTCCTTCTATCTGACGTCAAGAAGAAATATAAAGAAACTTTCGGCATTGTTAAAACTTTTGACATACTGACAGAAGAAATAGAAGCTACGAAATTGTTTAGGATTTCAAATATACATCGTACAATTCATGTAAAACGCTTGTGAAAAACTGGGGTGAGAAAACAGGTGAGAAAACGGGTGACATCTCACCTCTTCACCTATAATATATTTTTGCTTTAATTAAATGCTTTCCGGAAACGTCGATGAAAATCATATGGACAAATTATATGAAAAAATTAATAATGATTACCCCTCATTAACCAGGGAAATGACGGATTCTATAGTTCGTAAATTCGATGAAATACAGGATATGTGGTTCGACAGATTCGACATGAACGATAAGGAAAAGAGAAAGAACGATAACAATTTACTTACTAAAAGAATCCTAAAATCTAAAATAGGTGAAGCTTCAACATTTAACACAGTACATAACTTTTACACCGCTGTTTATATTTTCAATAATTTATTTAACGATGAACGAGAAAGAAAAAGTATGTTTAACGGAAGAAATGAATATGATTTTATCCTTTGTGCTGTTCGGGATGTTGACATGAAACTAAAGAAAATATTCTTATTACAAGATGACACGGTTGAAGATGAAGTCAATGAGTTTTTAAATCGTGATTTAAATGAAATTGATGAAGTTATGACCGAATGTTATAAAAAGTTCAAGAGGTGAAAAAAGAGGTGAGAAAACAGGTGAAATCTCACCTCTTCACCTAAATTATATTTTTGTCTGATTTACATCCAACGAAAAAGTTTAGAAGAATTTTCTTATTCTTTCTGGCATGTTTTTATCTTTCCAGTACTCCCGCTCTAATGGTCCCAGATGAGTTGGTTTAGATTCTCTCAAGTTCTTAGATGGTATAACATCTTCAACGCCTCCTTCATATCTTACTTTATAAGTGTCATCGTTTGTGTTATAGTCAAGTATTTCAATAACCACTCCTCGCTTTGCTTCGTCAATGGTTTCAGCAAGTTTGCCATTACTACTTTCGACTAATTTATGTCGAGGGTAAAATGCTATGGAGTCGTCAGCAGCTTTTATAAGATATCCATTACCTTGCGTAGAGTCTACGATATAATAATTTCGACTTAACCTTAAACGTTTCTTTGTCAATGGTTTGTCGTCAAGAACTACACGAACTTTTGTACCAGGAATGAGAGTAAATTGTGTTGAATTTCTGATATTTTGTGTTTGGCTTCGTTTCTTTTGTATATACTTTTCTTCTTGTTGTTGTGTCATTGAATTTGGTGTATGTCCTGTTGTAGAATGTGTTGAGGAATTATATACTTCGAGAAAATGTTTCATTGTTTCTTCGGTAAAGTCTCGCTCTTGATTTAAATCTCTGAGAGTCCTTATGAAGCGGTTAATGATACCGAGTATGTTATGGTTATGGTCTTCAGTAGTGTAGTGAGTTATGTTATGCTTAATGAGAAATTCTGTGATTTCGTTGCTGAGGTATGCACCGTCTTGGTCTGATGTTAAAATACTTGGGCTATGTTCTGCTACAAACTTTTGTAAAACTCTTAACACTTCATGAGTTCCTTTATTTCTCATTATATACGCATATGCTTTACGAGTGTTAACATTTATGAAGATGAGGAATGGTTTATGTCCTCCTTTTCTGCTTTGAATGAGAGTGTCAAATTGGTATGCGTCAGGAGTGTTGGAGTAAATTGGTAAAAAGTAGTCGTAAGGATTTATTTTTGTTTGATGTACAACATTTTTGTCAAAGAACCTTTTCACTTCAGCTCTGTTAGTAAATCCCGAACTCTTTGCAGCTTCATTGAACTTCTTAAATGACCTCCATGGATGTTGTTCGAATACTTCTTTCAAGCTCATTTATGTAAAGTTAAAGATTTTAACCAACTCGTATCCAAGCGTGCATTGTTATATAAGGAGGCATATAATCTTTTCCATTACCTGCTGGGTCTGTAATACCAGCTACAACATGTGTATGATTTCCTGCAGTTCCACAGAAAATACCTGTGCTAACATCTTTGGGGTCAGTTGTGATATCATATCTATGCATTCCCTGTCTATCCGAACCCGCTGCAAGATTTGTATAACCTCTTTTTGTTATTGAATGTGAATGGTTTCCTTCCACAGATGTTCTTCCACTGAACCTATGCATATGTGAAGGAAGGTTTTCAATACCTATTTTCTTTGAACCTCCCATCTTCATTGACTGCGTATTAGTGTAGAATGGAAAACTGTCAACTATTTCATACCATCTACCACCAAAATAAAGTGTTTGGATTTATTGGATTCATAGACGTATAAACAGCTCCTATAGGATATATTAAATCATATATGCTCATAACTCTATAAACATATTCTAAAGAACTTATGTCATTAAATACCATTTGGAATGTATCTCCCGGATGAAATGTTGCATTTGTTCCACTTTTATAATGTAATGTTAGTTCAATAGAATTATCCAAGAAAAATTCAAAAGTATCTGGTTGAAGACCTCTAACAAATTCAAATGGAGTTGCTGGTTCACCATTTATAATTTCTGTTGTAAATGTCATTGTATCTGGTTTCGAAAATTTCTTTGTTAGTTCTGCATCCACATAAGTTTTATCTGCTTTCTTGTCTAACATTGCTGGTAGTTCATATGCTTCAAAGTTTCTGGCATGATCTTCGGTATTCCTGCAACTCTTATCTAAATTGTTAAGAGTATCTTTTACGCTTGTACTCGGATTCTCTAAAGGTGCACTTGAACCAAGGTCAAAGTTCAATATTATGTCGTCTGCTCTAACAGTAGTGAAGGATTTATGTGTATGGTTCTTGTCTGCTTTCTTGTCATATAAATCTTGAGCAGTGAATTTAATATTATGTTCATCCTTCATGACATAAACATCTTTACATCTAATGTTTCTCATCGTCGTTATGTCGTCATCCGATGTTAAACCTTGTGGAAAGTTAGGAGGTTTACAATATAATGCAGCCGCGTGCGGCGGGGCTCCGCCCTCCCCACCAGTTTCTTCAACCGTTCCTTCAATACTTTCTATAGCAACAGTTGTGAAGGATTTATGTGTATGGTTCTTGTCTGCTTTCTTATCTAACATTGCTGGTAGTTCATGTGCTTCAAAGTTTCTGGCATGACTTTCAATGTTCCTGCAACTGTTATCTAAACTGTTAAGAGTATCTTTTACGCTTGTACTTGGATTTTCTAATGGTGCACTTGAACCAAGGTCAAAGTTCAATATTATGTCGTCTGCTCTAACAGTAGTGAAGGATTTATGTGTATGGTTCTTGTCAGCTTTACTGTCTAAAGAAGTTTGAAGTTCATTTATATCGGAGATGTTGTGTTTATGAGATTTCAAAACTTTGTTCGTTGCGTCAAGTTCAACTTTGTCAGCTTTACTTTTAATAGCATCTTCAAACGTTATTTTTGCCTTAACTCTTAACATAAATCTTGGTTCAACTAATACACCATTAACAGAGAAAGTAGAGGCATAAATTTCATCGTTATAACTAAATGCTTCTGGTGCTTTACCTGTGTCATACTGTACAGTACAGCTTATGTCATAACCTTTAGCACGAATGTATTTATATCTTCTTTCATTAACATTTTTTGTCTTCGCTTCATCACTTCGTGTTAAATATCCATGGTAGTCCGTTATAATCTGTTCGTCTGAAGTTATATAATGAACGTGGTTTTTATCTGCTTTTTCGGCTAATTTCTCATTAACATCATTCACTTCTAATTCAACTCTTCCGCCAGAACTCTTATTATCATTAATCTTTTTCATTAATTCGGTAATTACGTCATAAAGACTATATTCTGTTTTCGGTTTTGTAAATAATGAGTCAAAATTTCTTTTCATCATTACATCGCTGACATTAATGATATCACCAATTCCTTTTTCATTTATTCTCTTCATTAATTCTGCAATAATGACGAATATATAATCTGTTAATTTATTCTCTTCATCGAGGGTTATAGAATGTTTTGAAATTGAATCATTAACTCCTCTAAATAAATCAATAACTTCAGGATACACGTTTTTAATGTCTTGAATAACCCGACCAGTATCCTCGCCACTATGTGGCTCTGAGCCCGTTGGGCTCTGTTGTTCATGTTCTTCGTTCCCGTCGTTACGTGGTTTTATATCTCTAACCATCATCAACGCAGCCATAACCGGAGGGTTTGTTGCTACCTGTTCGAAAATCCGTCCGTTATGTATGGTATATCTAAATAATTTCTTTGTGTTTGTTAAAACATTTGAAACAAGTCTTTTAAAACCATCTACAAAATTTCCTGTTTCACCTAATGTTCTTGCAGCATTTACAAGCTCACCCATTCCCGCTTTTGACCCCAAAAACGTCCATATTGCATTTATTTCACTCTGTATAGTTGTCCATTCAGCGAAACTAACACCCGCATTCGCTAAGCTGAAAATGAAATTCAGTGGATCGAACTTAATTCCACCTTCTTTTTCAATTTCAACGAACTCACTAACATGAGATTTTAAATATTCTTTCGTTAAAATTGTTTTCCCCGATGTTATGTCATTAACGAAACTATCACCGTCAAAAGTTAACGAATTCAATTTCGTCGTTGATGCTTTTATTTCATACACCGCTTTATCGATAGTTTTTGGCTCACCTTCTTTAGAAGCATATGAAACATTAATGAATGAATTATATGTATTCGTGAATGAATTAAAATCAATGATTTTCATTAATGACGCCTTTAATGATTCATTAACTGTTGAATCCCTTAAAACAATTAATGAACTGTCATGGGCTTCGCCCTGGTCGCTTCGGTCTGAAAGACCTTCAGGACTCAAAGAGTCCGTTTGCGACTTTATGAAAGGTACACTGCAAACCGTCGAGTTTGGATCAAATGCTGTAGTTGGTGCAGGAATATTAATGATATAAGTCATTAAATCATTAAGTGACGTAAATAATGTTGTCGTTTTTGATTTAATTTCTTTAGCATCTGTTATATATGGTAATTTTATTTCTGTAGTTTCTGAATTAAAGATATTCGCTAAAATGTTTTGTAAACTGTTTTGAACAGCTGTGTAAACCGTTGAATTCGGAACTCTTACGATTTCACCATCCTTAATAAAAGGCATTGTACATGACGTAGTGCTTGGGTCAAATCTTTCGGGATTATAATTCAACATATATTCTAACGCTTCATATACAGACCTATAAACAGTTGTGTCGTTCTTCATGACAACTTCACCATTTACAATGAATGGCATAGTGCATGGAGTTAAAATAGGGTCAAACTTTTCATAGTCCTTCCATGTTATGTATTTCTCGGTATTTCCATCAGAAATAACAATATATTTGTCAGTAAGTGTGAGAGAGTATTGACCAAAATATAAACGTTTAGCTCTGTCAGCTTCATACGCATATGCAGCAATACTCATATTTTAATGAGAATAAAATGTTGTTCTATTTGCAAAGTACAGACCCAAACGAATACGGGACAGTAAAGCTACAAACAAACTTAGGTCTTCAGAATGAAGCGCTTGCTTTCAGAGTTGTTGACTTCAATACTATCGCTTCATTCGTTATAACAGATGAAACAGATTTCATGGAGCTTGAAATAGATGGAAAGAAGCACGAAATAAGATTTCACAATAATGTAGAATATAAGATGGAAACATTAGCTGGAGTGTTAAATGCGCTCATAAATACTACAATAAACAAGGAGAACGAAGAAAACTTAATGAATGTTAAACTTATTGCAGGAGTTTTGAAGTTCAGTTATGCGAAGGAGTTTAAGATAACACGAATGAGTCATAGAGTTCAATTGCTTCTGGGAGCATACCATATGACATGTCCTTTGAAAAGTGTTGACAAAACGATTGAGATGAAATCTGTTCCATACGTATGTTATGGTAATTGTTTATACGTTGAGTCAAAAATAGCTAATGTCACAGGTATTTCAGGAGTTAATAGTAAAGGTTCAGTAGAATATAAATCCTTCTGTTATGCAGTCAATTCAATGTTCATTCCAAACGTTCCTGTCATAGTAACTCATTTAGGTAAATGGGTTCGCATTAGTCCTCATAATTTGAAAGACATGCAATTCAGACTTGTTGACTTTCAAGGAGAGCCTGTAGAACTGAAGGCACCAGTGCGAATGACTGTTGAAGTTGACTTTTTAGAAAATATTAAATGCAACAGCTTACAAGAGAACTCAGAGCTAAAAATATAAAGTATGAATGTTATGTATTAGGTCATGAACTTTGGTTATTGCTGTTTGATGAAACAAATGAGTTAGTTATGTCAGTCAAGAGAACAGAAAAAGGCGTCAAAGGCGCCGAGCGCAAAGCGCTATATTGTGTTAGTGAAAACTGCACCAAGTCAATAAGATTAGGTTTGCATTATGAAGATGAGTTCGATACTGTTGAAGAAGTTTTGGATAGATATTACAAATTGCTTTAATTTACTAAAACATATTTCAAACAAAGCTTATATTCTGTTGAAAGTTTTGTATACTCGTTCGAATATTTATACTTAAACTCAACTCCTGTAGTTCCTGGTGTTTCAATGATGCGGATGTTACCTATTTTCATGAATGGTGGCGTTTGACCACAGCATTCGATTTCAGGGTCGAGATAGTCAATGACACATTGTTTCCCTGTTATTCGTGATATAACATTTTCAAGGTCCTCCTTTGTTAGAATTATTTGGTTCTTGCTTATAAGATTTGTCAAAAGCTTCTTATCGTCTTTGAGTAAAATTGTTTGGTATAACTGAAGAAGGTAATGGTCTACGTTATCTGAAGGATTTGTTTGAACATTTGTGTAAGGGTTGTCGTTGGCTTCTCTTGAAAGAATTTGGTCCAGTGGTGGATACTCTAACTTAACATCTGATGTAGCGTTAGCGTTTGAAGCTGAGTTTAAATTCACGGATTTCAGTTCTGGTTCTTTTTCTTTCAAACACTCTGAACTATAGTTCTTTATGACAATATTGTTTGTCGTTCGTGAGTCAACATTTGATGTTGGTTCAATTGGAACATTAACGGCACCAGCTAAGATGGATTTGCTTCTCATTTCATATAGAATAAAAACCTTTTATATGTATGAAATGAACAATATACTCGACAAGGGTTTGAATGTAAAGCTAACGAATGAAAATATTGTTGAATTCACTGAGACAGGTGCTGTGTATAAAGATGTAGAACTACTGAACAAAAGAGCTAAGGGAAGAAGCAGGAACATGAACAAAGGGTGGAAGCCTATAAAAATTTATGTCAATGATGGCTCAGGAGGTTCAAACATAAAGTATGCAGAAAGTTATAGAGTTTATGCTCTCAAAGGTGAAAAGCCTTCATTTAAGAACAGCTATTCTAACGCATATCCTCAAAAGCTAACGGATGGGGAAGTGGATGATATGAATGACAGCAAAAATATTAACAGAAATGGCGACAGAGATGCATGGAATTTGTTTACCATCAGTCAATTGAAGGTTAAACTTTAAAACAATGTTGGTCGTTCCCATGGAATATTTTTGACTTTAATGGTATTAGTCATGATATGAATCTCAAGGTATGAACGAGGAGAGATGAGAGACTTATATGCTTCCCAAATTTCTTCAAAAGGTAATGTTATACCTGACTGTTTCCAAATGAGTTCAATATCATAACGTGAGAAACCTTGAAAGATAACGAAGTCAGTTATGAGACGTTTTATGTTTAAAGCAAGAAAACGCCATGTTTGCATAAGTATTGCTACAGTTAAGTGGTAATGTCTGACTTTAGTAATGATGTTAGCTAATGGTGAGTCAGGCTTTGACACTAAACCTTTTCCGGCGAAGTCGTCGCAAACGAGCAGAGTATTTGAAGGATACTTTTTGAAGGGGTATTTTGAAAGTTTTGACAGAATGTAGTTTGTAAGTCGTTTCATATCGTAAACTCCTGAGTATTGACGTAAGTGGTGTTTGTCAATAATTCTTTCCATCTCTTCTGAAGTCTTTTGCATTCCTGACTGTATAAATTCAACGATGGCATAATATTTCCTCTTACGTCGAACGTAACGTTGAAGAAATTCAATGAGTTCGCTATCTGGAACTTTAACGACAGAGCTTGAACTTTTGACATAAATGTTTTCGCTGTTGAGTCCATAGAGTCTGAAGTTGCTGATATAATGATTTGGTCATAATATGAATCTTGACCTAAACGCTCTGTTATGAGTATATGACGAATGAGGTTAAATGTCTTACCTGAACCCATCTTTCCACAATAGAAATACACACCATTTGAACAGAATCATAATCTTTGCTGAAAGGAAGAATGAGAGAAGAGTTAAGTTTGTCTGTAGTTTCATTCATGTCTTCATCTACGTCATGTATTAAATGCTTCATTTTATCTCCATTAAAAATGCAAGTCAGAAATATTCAGAACATAGCACCGAGTCTAACTGACAAGAGTATAAAGATATACTATGAACACGTTATGATGAAACCAACCAAAATTCAAGAAAGTCAGTATACTTATGAATATCCAAGACACTGGGTAGAGTATGTAGGAGGTGAGAAAGCTATTGAAATCAGACAGGTTCGAAGTATTCCAGCAGGAAGGACAATATTATTGAAGAACTTTAATGTTTTGAGGTATAATGATGAAACAAAGAAGCAAGATAGTTTTCCCATTGCTGTGTATGTGAACCTAGACACAGGAGATGACATGAAAGTTTTTAACACAAAGCTTCAAACGGTAGTGAGAGAACAACTTACTGCGGAAGGGCATCCATTACCTTCAGAAGTTACCATAGCATATAATTTTGAAACAAACTCAATAGATTTTAAAGTCATCTCTGCAAAGAAGTCAGGTTTTACATTTAATGAAGCAGATGTATATTCGAATGAAAACTTCAAAGCTATTGCATGGTTAGATAATGACGATTGCTTTAAGAAAATATTTAAATTCAGTGACTCAACGATGTCAATAGATGACCTTCGTGGAATGTTACCATCGATGTTTACAGTAGAAGGTTCAGCAGGATTGCTTACAAGATTGTCAATTGGTGGTATTTGGTCTCGTGAGAACATTGTTATAAATCCAGTATAAGTGAATTTGCTGAAGAATCTATATTATGTCTTTCAAACTACATGTATTCGCCACCGAAGCATTATAGTATAACAAACTTTGTCATAAAATTTTCAGTAAAAATAAAAAATAAACTTAAAATTAATGATATCACCACCCTCACACGTATGAAAACATAGCACAAAAATAATTTAGTAGAATGTTGATCTAACACGTTTTTCTAATCATTTCTAACCTTTTTTGAATTCATTGCTTTATAACTCTCTTCCTTGGTTTCTTTAGTTGCTTTCTTCACGTCTGCTCCAACTTGACTGTCTTTCTCTTCGTCCCGTAATGATACCAGTTACTTCCACCAGTCAATGGGTCAAATGTCTTCGTAAGGATTCCATACATTCCATAGGGACCATACGAAGAACTACTGTGGTGGAGAAGAAACATTTTCTTTAGTTCCATCGAACTCTATTTAAATGCATTGTTTCACCATTTCATCTGGTCATTAAAGTCTTTTGCGTGTTTTGCAAACCTCATCGTCCTTTCCTAAAGCATTTTTCTGACTCAGTCGCAACCAAATTGGATGCTTTATTTATGAGCCCTATTTTATTTAATCTAACTTCTTTGCAACCCAGCCTCCAATCTTCCCTTTATTTGCATCTAATGTCTTCGAAACCCTTCCTCCACTCATTTTATTTACTGCGTCATAAGCCCCAGGGCTTTTGCTCCAAATGCTAATGCTTTTGTTCCCATTGCGCCTAAAGCTGTCCAAGCTACCATTTACACCATATTAAATCATCTCTCTTCAATATTATCTCATAAAGTTCTCGTTACTGGAGAAAGTCAATGAAACATCAAACATTCTCAGTTCAGTCTCTAAACTTCTTTCTTATCTCATCTATTACGCTTCAAAATGTCTGAACAATTGCTAACATCTTCTACAACAGTTATTTCATCATGAACGAGCCTTTAAGAACAAGCTCATTTAATATGCAATTAAAATCATCTCAATAATGAGTCCATCCTTTCCATCTTTAGTGTAGCACAACATCTTTCATTGAAGAAGGTTCGACAAGT